GCGCCGAGGAGGAAGGGCAGGGGGGAGGCCGCGGCGCCTTCCCCGATCCCGCTTCTGTCGGGCTTCTCGCCAGGGGGGTCTGAAAGTGGCGCTGCCCCCCCTCCGGGAGAAGGGGCTTGATGTTGGCGATGCTCTGAAAGATGAGATAGTTTGTACAACTGCAGGGATCCCAAGGAAAGCTCAGAGGAATTTGGGAAAGGAGGAAGTACTGTGGAAGGGAATAGACGGGGATACGGGGGGGTCGAGGCAGCCTGGGGGCCCGGTGCAGGCGCGTGAAGCCCGAGGTGATCGGCAGCATTGGGTCATTGTGAGCCCTGGTCTCAAGGGAGGTTTCGAAGGCATTGCCTCATGTTTGGTTTCAAAGAGGGCCGGAGGAACGGCAGGAGATTTTGGGGGGGTCAGAGAGCGGGGCAAGTAAGCTGCTTCTGGTGTTTTGAAGACTTGAAAGTACACAGTGTCAGGACTTGCAGCAGCTTAGCTAATCAGTTTTCCACTGAGGAAAGGAATGAGAAACACCAGAGATGGGTATCAGACAATGGATGATATTCACACTTGTGGAACAGCAAGTTCATATTCACCAAATGGTCAGGCAAAAGGTGTAGCTTTTATGGATTTCGGGCTACTGGATATGAAAACCCAAAGATCTAGAGTGGATGTTATAATAAAAACAGCAATTTAGTAACTTGGTGACATTTACAAAGATAATTTAATCTGGAGTGGTTTAAGCATCGAGAGTTTTACGAAACGCAGCTGAGAGGCATAAAGTTTTGAGCTTTAGCCAAAGTTTGAGTACTGGTGGAACAGGATTTCTAAGTAAAAGCCCTGAGAAATTAAGTACGCAAAAATGTAGCTGGTAAGAGGCCAGGAGTGAGTATTACTCTGTTGGGGGGTAGAATTAGTTAATACCTGCAGCACACAATGGTTGTAGATGGCAACAACTGAGGTGGAGATAATTGTAAGGGGGAGAGTTTCTGCTAGGCTATGACTGAGAAATAATTCTGTCTTCTTTTAGCTGGACTGAGGGATTTAAGTAGTTCTACAGTTGCCATACTGTTACTGCTGTTACTGCTGTAACTTGCATGAGAGGAATGGAGGGGAGGAGAAACAAATAAATTCCATTTTTACATTGAAATATGCCTTGCCTTCAGATAGTAAACTTAAATAATTTTTGCTGGCTTTGAATATTGAGTATTTTTTTAATTAAGAATTTTAAACAGATGGAATAAGTATGTATAATTCCCTGCCTATTGTATGTATGAGTGTTTCCTGGTTTTCATTCCCTCTCTTTCCATCACATCCTAGATCTTCTCATGCATGACCAACTCATATTCATTACCTGTCGGGCAAGGGGCACTTAATCAGTATTCACTCAGGACAGAAGTTATGGCCATATTTTGCTCATTTAATTTTAAGGGAACTTTCTGATACTTTTTACCTGTGAGTTACCATGTTATGCTTGAACTGATACCATTTTTTTTCCATTTACAGTGGACATTGGACATCCAGTTAGGAAGGTCATTCTGCCATCTTCTCTCAGAGCTGAAAAGAAGCTTCAGCATTCAGGTTTAGCAGAAAATTTTACTCAAACATGTACAGTTCTCCAAATCTACTCTAAATCCTGTCATCCATCGTCAAACCAGAAGTAAGGTGCACATTTTCTATTGCAGTATCTAACTTCTGTGGCTTGATGTGAAAGATATTTGTTGTCACGTTACTTAAAATTTAAGAAGTGCGTAATTTGGGCAACCTTTCTTTTCATTCTCAAAAAATGTATCTTGGCTTAAGTATTACATGATAGACCCATCAAAGCTCTGTATAAATTAGCTGGGTTCAAAACCCATGTAGAGCACTTCTTAATCGAAGCATGGTGAACATCATTTCACCCTCATACAACAATGGGTTGTGTAGGCGAATGTGCCCCCAAAACTTCATTATTCTATAAAAGTTTGGTGGTTTTTTTACTCTCTCTGCAGATTTAAGCATTATTTATTCTTTCAATACTTTGTTCTCATACACTGTTGTTATGTCATGATCATGCAAATGAAGACTGAACTAGGTGAAAGACTCCAGTTTGTTTTCATTCTGTGCTTCTGGCAAAGGTTATAACATTCAGATGCCCAATAGAAAAATATGTATTCAAGACTGCCATTTTTTTAGCTAGATTTGAAATTTGCTACTAGGGATAATTAAGGTTAAGTACTGAGAGTTAACTGCTACCATAGTGAAAAAAAATTAAGATATGCACAGCAATTTATAATGAAAACTATTCCAAATAAAGATGATTCATATATACTGAATTTCTTCAAATATATATTTGACCTCCCAAAAATGGCATTACATTAAAAGTAGAGTGGTGCAAACTGGGTTCCTGGAGTGCAAGCTTGTTAAGATAAACTAACAAATGCGTGTTTCACACTGCTTATATTTTTGCACATCGCAGTTTAGTTAATGAAAACCATTTACATATCATTGCATTTCAGTTGACTTGATTTGAGTCAGTTTCAACTTTATGTTCTGTGTCATTGAATAACCGTTTTAAAATATTTTCAAGTGCTACAGGACATATATACAAAACAAGTATTTTTCTTGAAAAGAGTGGTGCCATTATGGCAATTGAATAAAGTTAAAACTGGTAACATTTTTCACAGAATTTTAGTTGACAGTGTTTAAAATATTTTTGATGTTCTACAATATAGTCCAATTTTAATAAAGTTATAGTAGTATAACGGTTTGTTGGATTTCTTAAGGTTTAGATTTCTTAAGTATTATCCATTCCAACTAAGAATTTCTTCACTTGTTTGTTTAGCTATGGAAAGCTAATGCAAGAGACCTACACTACACCTTAGCTCTATTTCTAATTAGTTATTTCACATTGTACATTCATTTGAATGTTGAAACAACATTTTAGAAAATATTCGTAACACTATCATTTTGAAACAGTGACCATTTTCCAATTCTTCTCTCTTCTGTAGTTAATGAAATGGGATTTTTCTGGTAATTTTTCATTCTATCATTCCTTTTTTGCCTTGGCTATTGTGTTAGATGAGTGAAAAAGGCACTGTGTGCAAAAGACATAGAAACAAATCCTAATGTAGCTGGTTTAATTATGAATATTTATTGTTCTGTGGGTTACATGCCATTTGTTTTCCCTACTGACAAACATCTGAAGAAGTGTTCTGAATGTCAGCACTTAA